CCACGAAAACTAAGAAATCACATTTTTCCGTAAAAACCAAGAAATCACATTATCCATCAAAAACCGAAAATTTGCATTTTCTATCAAAACCAAGAAATCGTATTTTTTGTCAATTGAAAAGTTGCATTTCCCTCGTATTTTCTCGTCAAAATCAAATTTTTTTTTTGTTTTTTCATCAAAATCAAAAAATTCACATTTTCCCGCCAAACCCTATAATTTATTTTTCCGCCATAACCAAGAAATTATGTCTTCCTAGCAAAACTGAAAATCATATTTTCCTACCGAAACCAAAGAATTCCCTATTCCCGCTAAACCCATGATAATTTGTTCTGAGTAACCACTGGAAATGCGAATCTCCAAGTTATGGTGGTCTGAGCTCTCTTCATTTGCTTTCGATTTCCATTTTTTTGTAAATTTTTGGACTTTTTAATGGGTCTGCAAAATAGTAAACTGATTTTATTAGTGTGTTAATGATATGTATTTGTTATGTTTTTATTGGTTCAAATTTTTGCTGATGTATGAGCTTCTTATAACATCAGACTTTTTGCGTTGTTGTTATGAAAACATAGTTAATGATGAGCCTACACTTTTTCAATCATATACGTCTCTGTCGAACAAACAAATAGCTAAAAAAAATTTATTTATTTGCTATTAATTATTATTTGGGTTTGAGTTTGACAAAAAATAAAACATAGATTTAAAATTTTTTTTATTTGCTGTTAGTTATTTTTTGGGCTTGGATTTGGTAAACAATAAACAAATTTTTTTTTTATTTGCTGTTATTTATTATTTGAGCTTTGATTTGTTAAAAAATAAAACAAATTATTAACAAAAAATATATTTGGGTTTTTAATGGATTTAAATTTAAAAATTAAAATAAGTAGATGAGTTGTATTAATGTTTTAATTTGATTGGTTTGTAAAATAACTGATGTGTCAACTTCTCAAAAATTAAAAAATCTGATGTGTCAACTTATGAAGAGACTTGAGTGTTATTGTTGTATTGATCAGTTAACACAATTATTCTGTCTTTTTAAAGCCCAGAGTTCTATATGGAAATTTGAATTCGAATAGAATCATATAAGCATATGAGTATTGTGAATTATTCGGGCTCTATATAGCAGGGAGCAAAAAAGAAAGAATATTACATATGAAAGCATATGCGATCTAAAAAGAGCCTAGCAAGAGTATGTCTCTCACTATTCATATGTACACAAACCAACATTTTGTTCCTACGTTAGAAAACCAACGTACCTGTTTCTTTCTCTCTTTCAGGGAGGCTTTGGAATTTTTCTTTCCTTTTTTTGGTTTTGAAAATAACGAAAAGAAAAAAAAACTCCTTACGACAACGTGTGAATATAATCTCCATTTTGAGTATTTCCATTGATTGTGTATCCTGCACACATGAACAACCCAATGTTTTTTTTTTTTTTTTTTTCTTATATTGAAAGCTGCAACATTTTTTTGAGTTTAATGGTATTGAAAATGTTACCTTAAAATGAGAGACTAATTCCAGGGTTGTGACAAGGAGACCGTTGAAGTTGATGCATCGATTCCTCTTCTGTGATTGATCGCAGAGTTTAGAGTCTTGTATTGTTCGTTAACAGAGTTGTACAGAGCTTGGCTGAATGCTTCTTTCGCCTGTCAAAAACACGAGAAAGTATCCATGATGATGGGGAAAGACAAATGGATCTTGAATACGAAAGAAACCAGTGTGCTGAGTTGAGTAATGGGGAGACCTCGTTAGGGTTGTTGCAGTCTGCTGTGACTTCTGAGAAGCTGATTTCAGGAGCAATTGATAGTCCAGTACCGTGAAACCCAACTAATCTTTTCTCTCCAATTTCTTTCTCAACCTGGAGATGCACAACGAAAGTGATGAGAGGAAAGTATACCATAAAAAAAGCCCAAAACTGATAAGAGAGGGAGAGAGAGGTATCAATACTTGTGGTGGAGGAGGCATGATGTCATAGCAAAGCAAAGACATTGGATAGATATGTCCAGGAGCACCAGAATGTTCAACCAGTCTTCTCATGTTGTCCACCGAAGAAGAATCAAAGTGTGCCTGAACATTTTTAGATCAGTATATTCGCAAATCTACCAGAGAAGGATAAGATATTACACAAGTCCAAATAAATAACTTACAGGAAACCATTCGCCTGTAGAAGGATCAGGGCGGTCTCTTCCACCACTTGGAGCAATCCATATAAGTTGGGAGCCAGACCTACACAGTGAGGTTCATTGCTACATTAGCAGATTAGCATTAACTTTATTCTCTGCTTTTCTGAGATCTAATTAGCTTTCGTTCCAATAACCTTAGCAGTGTAGCCATCTCCTTTAAGCTTCGTGTGTTTGCTTTTCTTTTCATATCAACAAGCTCAGGATCATCGTTCATGTGTTTTTTCGAGTAAACACATATGAGATTCCTGAAAGCAGGAAGTCATACAAGGTTGCTTATATTACACTTCACCCCATCAGGTAGCATACGATTGTCAAGAGAAGGGTTGTGATACCTTCCCATACTAAACGGCTTACAAAGAGGATCAGTGATGACTCGATCACCAGCCACACATTTCTGCAGCCAAAAAAGGGATAAGTATAAAGACAGTAGCTTATAGAAGATCTCAGAACGAGGCTCGAAGGCTCACAATGTTTTCTCCTATGTATGGACATTGTGCTTCAAGTAACAGTGAAATAACAGCTGGATCAGCTTCACTTTGATGATTTGATATTAACACGATATTGTGTCCCTGAAATCAACCAGTTAAATGTTAAAAGTCCTACATGATGCGTTAGAAAGATCCAAGTCAGATAACTAGAGCACATGAGAGAGGGAAGAGTACCTGCCGAATCTTGTCTTCCAGCTCAGAGAAAATCGAAACATTTCCAACGTAAGAATTTCTGCATAACAAGTGTTAGTAAATGAACACTTGATGGCAAGAAAACTAGAAGGATCCACTGACACCAATCACACGAGAAAAAAATATTCTAATTGCATTTCAAATATAGATAAAATGTGATAACTATGAGTGCAGATTTCATCTTACTTGAAATCAATTAGAGGACGGATGTATGTATGGACAAACTGATAGTAGTCAAATGGTTCTCTGATTGCTTTATGATATGGATTAAAAGTATAAGGATCCTGAAAAATTCACAGCATGATTATAGGCAGCACAAAGGAAGCTCAAGTAACAGAGAACTACAAGAGACTGATGGGAAAGAAGTACCTCCACACCAAGAAGCATGCGATCGAAAGCAACAGACATGTTTGATACAACAGTCTCATCTGCCCTGGAAGCTCCGCTACTTAAAACCTAAAAGCACCAGTAAGAAAGAAGATAATACAGTTATTGAAATGCAAAGTTCAGTGCCCTGATGTTCTTCAATCCAAGTAAATGGCACCAATTTTCGTACAAACTAGTGAGTGATAAAAGCATTCATTTACTGCATTTTTGTAGTTCCAATATAATTCTTCCATCCCTGATGCAACATTCGGAGGCAACCTTCCAGCTTCAGTTTCCTTCCTGATACCAGATATTAAATCTGAAAATGGAAATGAAGATTAACTCCAGACTCGAAAAAGCTATTTAGCATGAGAAGAAAAGTAGAAATGCATATGCATCTCTGAGGCATTATAAACCGTAATGGAACAAGATCAGAAGCAAAATGCAAGAAATAACCTTAAAAAATTATCAAAGAAGAGCTCAATTCAATTACAACCATAACCTTATCCATTCAAACAAAGAAAGAAAGTAGGATTTTCCATTTCGCTTCTACTTCCGCAATGTATTGCAAACTGCGATAAGGTTTCTCATATTCTGGATACAAGGAATCGAACAATCACCATAATGTAAACCTTCACATTTCTTGATTCCGTCTCCTACTTGAGACTAAAGGAGTCAATTCAAATTCGTCGGAGAAGAAGAAATCTAACCTTCTTCACTTCGCGCATCCAAGAAGGTACGGGAATGGCTGAGCTCACTCGGCGTCGTATCTTCAGCATCATTGAAAGAAGTGCTCGCCGCGACGACAGATTCCTTATCCTGAACAAGCTCAGACATCGCTCTCACAGCCAAGGACGATGCACCGCCGACTCCGACGACGCCGCGGGAACGAAGGGGGAGCTTCGAAGCGGTTAATCTGAAGGAAACGAAGCCGCGAACACTCGGGGAAACGAGTGGATTAACCGGAACCCTAGCGGAGGAAGTTACGGTTGCAGCAGCAACGGCAACGGTTGCGGCGGAGGAGGAAAATGTGAGGGGCATGAGTGTCATTAAAGCGTGTTTGGTGATTGGACGAAGCAGAGCGTGTGTGTGTGTGAAGGAGATCGCTTCCTCACTTTTTATTTATCCCAGGAGTCCTCCTCCCTCCTCCTTCCTCATTTTGTTTCCACGTTTTTATAATTTTCTCTTTCTTTTTTTTCCGGTTTTCACCAAATTAAAAACTCATTATTATATCAGTAATTTTATTTTGGCTCTAAATTATTAAAATGTGGATATAGTGGGTTCAAGAAGACCAAATTAAAACCTCATTTCTTAATTTTTGTTTCCCTCTTCGTTGCGTCCGTACTTGCATTTGCTTTTCCTTGGTTTGAAGAAGTCCATATTCGTGTGCACACAACAAAAATCTAAATATAAATCATGTGACGTCAAGAACAAAAAATCATGTAACGATTCTAATTGAGGACACTATCGATGACATATTTAAACTTTATGTCTTATATTGAAGAAGTCATGTCTGGGTGTACACGTAATGATAATTCAAATGTCTAAATTGTGGTTAATTGACAAAATAAGATATTGTTGTGCGTTAACCGTCAACTGTAAAATTAGAATTAACAATTTTTCATTTTTTTCATATTCGCTCCTAATGTTTGTTTACACAAGAGTGGATAAAGCTTTCAATTATTAGATTCCCTTTTTGTTGTTGTGACCTGAACGGCACAGGACGCTGCTCCAACATGAGGAATGGGATTATTGACACGTGTCAGGTTATAAGTGGTTCGAATATAGGCCGAGCGAACCAATTCGAACCAAGGGTCCCCCATTGCTGAATAATATATCATTGTTATTGAGAGACTCAAAGTTTGTCTTTGATAAGAAAACATAATATCTCAAAACTACAGTTTTGATTCCAAGTGACACCTAAAAAACTCCATCAACATGAAAACATGAAAGCAAGCTCTAATAGGAGAGGAAAACCTATCCGAGGAAGTTGATGATCACCAAGTGAAGGACTAAGTTGCAGAGGACAAAATCAGCAAAAGCTCGTTCTGGTGCCAAATCCTGCAGTATTAGGTAGATAATTCAGGATACTATAGATATCGTAATCTAACGATAAAGTTATGAAAATATTGATTATGTTTGTGTCCGTGGGAGAAAAATAGATACATGATAGGTTTCTAAGAAAATTGAATCCCATTTTCAGAAGTTCTTTTCAACATCTATAAACAGAGTGGTTACTTGATAATTATTCGATGGAGTCCATACACAAAACCTAGAACCAAGGGATTATTCGCAAGAAACTCAGTCTCAACTCTTTAAAACTCTCATAGCTAACAACTGACTTAGACTCTGTTGGTGATCTATCAAACATAACCACATTCCCATACAAATCAGAAACCCCCTAGGTTAGTTACAATAATATTGCACTACACTAACAAGAACACCATATCATTTCAACTGCAGTGTCACTACGGTTTAGATGGAAACGTTCGAGTGTGGACGCGTATGTAAATCAATCAACTAAACATGGGAGTGAAGAGGAGGGAGAAACAGAGGTATGATTGTTGAAGAGAACTAAAACTGTAATCAACATTTTGATTGTTGAAGAGAACTAAAACTGTAATCTATATTTTTTCTGAAAGGGAGTAGCATTACCTTGAATTCCTTGTTTTCTTTGTTCACTTGAATCCGGAGGCAAACTATAAACACAAGATAAAGAGATTGTTAGTTTTATACATTCCCAAGGTACATGTTTTTTTTTTTCTGTGGTAAGAAATGCAAAACTTACCAGCAAGAACTGCTGTCCCGATGCAAGAGAGAACTCCAGATAGGAATGAGTTAAATGGAAATGATCCCACCAAAGCCATATAAGCCACCTGTTCAGTTAAAAAAACCACGAGAAGGCTCTAGAGATTAACAATCAGTGGCTAGGTGCTTAATCTTTTGGCCATTCCACTGTTAGTGAACTAATGAAAAAGGATCTTAATGCTACTCATGAGCAACAGAGAAGTCAACTTTGTGCTAGTGAAATAAGCCAAGACACAAAGAACAGTAGATGTTTCATTTTCTCAGATAATCAGAGTGGAAGAAACGTTTTGTCTTGAATCTTTAAAACACAAAGGAATTTTTACCAAATCATACCAATTCATTCAATTTAAGCAAATCAAAAGACTGATGTGCAAGAGAACAAACCCAATTTGCATAACAATACTATGAAACTACATTGCAATTTGAAGTTAAAGCTTCATACGCAGATTATAGATCTAAATCAATTACCTATTCTACAACATCCGATCAAGGATAAACCATTTCAAAACAATTCAATTAACCACTAAAAACATGAAACAATACAACAGATCCATAAAATATCTAAAGTTTCGTACAAAACGACTCGAGAATCGCAGATCTATACGCCATAATTCCAACATATTTGAGTACCTGAATCAAAGCAGTGAAGACAGCGAAAACGACATACAAGTCGATGATCTGCAAAAGCAAGTTCCAAAATTGATATTCAATTTCTACAAAATTCAAAAAAAACCATCGATCCAATAAAAACGAAGGAAGGTAATGGCGAACCTTCAGATTAGTCGGAGTAGCGGAATAAGCGGAACGAAGAGAATGGAACAGATCCTGAGCATCCTTACTTGTCGATTTCACCATCCTCAAAGATCGAATAAGCAAACACAAATCCCTTTTTCCTTCTTTTCTTCACACTGCCTTCTTCTTCGTCTTCGCGAGTCTCGAAGACTTATCACACTCAAGTCTTTACGAACTTCTCTCTAACGGCGTCGTTTAAACGATCGGCCCGTCTAAAGCTTGTTTGGGCCTTATAAAATAATCCTCAACGGCGTCGTTTGAAAGTGGATTTAAACCAATTATTAAAAGAAAAAGTATTAGCAAAAAGAAGTTTATTTTTTCTCGCTTCAATTCCGCCGCGTCGGCAGTAGCCCACATTTTTCTCGCTTAGCCGTCTTCTCCGGCGATTTTCAGACACTAGTGTCTTTCCAAAAATTTCAGTTGTTAAATTCAAATATCTGTCGTAATTATTGAAATCAGAAACCGGAAAAGAATGACTTCGTTTCTCAATTTCTCCGCCATTTCACCTAACCCACCTGCTTTCTCCGGCGCTTCACTTCGTCCTCGCTCTTTATCTCCCCGGTCATCCTCTCTCTCCCTCTCTTTCTCTCTCTACAATCTATGTTTGCTCATTGAATTTCATTGATTCATGGAGATAATTTATTCTTTTGGACAACGTATCACTTATCAGTATCTCTGCATTGTGGGGTTTGAAAGTTAAAACCTCTTGCAGTATTTCGTAATCAAATTCACAAAACTTGCTAAGAGTCTCTTCTGAATCCTTGAAGTCGAAAGATGAGAAGTTGAAAGCTTCCTTAGTTGAAAATCGATCAAATATCCTCATAAGACCGTACTAATGAGGAGTTAAAATTCATTATACTGTGAACTGAAGCTTCTGTGTGTTTGTGCTTACAGATTGTTCAAGTCTTGTGTTAAGTGCAGTTATGCTGCTGAAGCTCCGATTGACATTGTGGCAGATATCAAATCTGAAAGGGTATGAAAAGCGAAAAGAGCGAGCCTTTACTTGTGTGTTTATACGATATATCATGTCTCAGTTACGAAAATGCACTTTTCTCTTAGTTAGGTTGTAGTTCTTGGAGGCAACGGCTTCGTTGGCTCAGCTATCTGCAAAGCAGCAATCAACAATGGAATCGAGGCTGTAAGTGTAAGCAGGTATATTGACAAAGACAGTGCTTCGCATCGAAATCTTGGAGCAATCTCTCCCTTTTTTCGATAGTTTTTTGACAAATTTTCTCGATTGATTCTTTAGGTCTGGTCGTCCTAACTCCCAAGATTCATGGTTGGATCAGGTCACATGGGTTACTGGTAAGCAATTCTGTTTCTTTGTTGTATCATAAGAATAAACATATCCAAGTTTGGTTCTTGATGTGTCTCTGTGTTGTGTAGGTGATGTGTTCTATTTGAACTGGGATGAAGTACTTCTCGGTGCTACTGCTGTAGTTTCGACCATTGGTGGTTTTGGAAACGAAGAGCAGATGAAAAGAATCAACGGTGAAGCTAACGTCATCGCTGTCAATGCTGCTAAGGATTTCGGTTAAGTTATCCCCATAGCTAAAACTTCGAGTTTGTAACCCGAATCTCCATCGTTTTTTTCATTTTCTAAACCTTTTGAGTTCGTGTGCAGGGGTTCCTAAATTTGTCTTGATCACTGTTCACGATTACAATCTTCCACCATTTGTTCTATCCAGCGGTTACTTCACCGGAAAACGTAACGCAGAAGCAGAACTTCTCTCCAAATATCCCAACTCCGGTATAAAAAAAGATCCAAACCATCTTCTTGATCTTTGGTTTTGCAAAATATGATCTTCATTTCGTTGTTCTTGTTGTTGTTTCTTGTAGGAGTTGTGCTGAGACCTGGTTTCATATACGGGAAACGAAAAGTCAACGGATTCGAGATCCCGCTTGATGTGGTCGGAGAGCCACTAGATAAGATATATAATGCTGCAGAGAGCTTCATTAGACCGTTGAGGTCTCTCCCTGCGTCTGATCTCCTCTTGGCTCCACCGGTTAACGTCGATGATCTAGCACTCGCTGTGATTAACGCCGTTAAAGATGATGACTTCTTTGGCATTTTCACTATTGAACAGATCAAAGAAGCAGCTGCAAAAATGAGATCATTTACCTACTAAATAGCTTCTTATTATTTTTTACTCTCCCTTTGTCAAATTTGTGTTGTATATCGTTTGGAAACGTATATATCTTACTTGTACGATGAGCAAAACGTATAATTTCGGAACATGAGACGGTTATAAAATTTCTTCATCAAGCTAATTATCACCTATCGGGTATTGAGAAATTGATAGGATCACTATTAGCACTACTAAGATGTACACATACAATTTTTGCTTCTGTCCACTCATTCTTTCTTGTTGATACAAATTGTATTTGAGTTTGTGATTACTATGATGACTTTCTTGAGATTATTTATAATATTCGTATATGGTTATGACATTTTTAGTAGCTGATATGTAGTGTACTTAATTTTCGTTGATTTTGTAGATGCGTGTATCAATATTGTTATAATTTCTTATCTTATTGGATAAAACATTTCATATATAGCATCAGTTACATATAGTATGTATACGCATATAAATCAATTTAGATTTTTCATGATTATATATTCACTTTTTTATTTTTTTCATAAAATCGCATTTATAATTTATAAAACACTGAAAGGTCTAAAAAGTATTTTCTTTATTTTGTAATAAATATATGGTTAGCGTTACTTTATTTTTATTAAATATTATAAATTAAATATCAAACATATGAAGAAAGTATATGAATTAAACAATATAGTAACATAAATATATATAAAAAATTACCAAGGTATAAAGTTCAATTTTTTTTTAAAAAACAACATACAATAAAGAATGTACAGTAGAACCTCTATAAATTAATATTCGATAAATTAATAATCACAATAAATTAATAATTTTTACCGGTCCCAAGTCGGACCAATATAAAAATTTATAAAATTCGATAAGATAATAAAATAATATTTTTTTGTTCTATGTAAAAATATGGTCCCAATAATAATATATATTAATAATTATATATTTTGGCATATATTAATAATATGATATAGTAAACTATAATAATATTGTTGTTTCAAGTTTATAAAATTATTTTGATTTATCTTCTAAATTCATTATTATGAGATTTTTTGAATGAATTTTATATTGTTGAAAATATTGATTTTTCTTTTTTTTGATGAATATTAAAAATTCAAACCAAAAATATCTCTATAAATTAATAACTCTATAAATTAATAAAAATTGAAAGTCCCAACATTATCAATTTATAGAGGTTTTACTGTATGGGATCTATGAGAACCAAGACGAGTTTTAGATTCACAGGTTTTTATATTATGTGTTTCGAACTTTAAAACTTTAAAGTTCATGCACAATGTTCGATATAGTACAAGCTAAGCAAAACGAAATCTAAAAGGGTTGAAAGTGAAGATGTAATTAAAATAGTTAAATGAGTCATTGTGTTCTTCGGGAAATCTTTGGGGTTTAACTATATCGAACAAGAATTAAAAACAAAGCAAACATGACTATACCTACTTTTCTTAAACTTGAATCACAATTTTATTATTTACCTAATTTTGTACACTAATATGACTATAGCTTACCTTTAAATATTTATTCTGAATGATTTGTTAACAATTAATTGCATTTATATATACTTTATACATGAAAATAACTCATATAAGAAAAACAAAATTAATTGTCACTTTTAAAAGTATACCATCTTATGTGGTAGCCAAATAATCTGATTTATATGCACTATTGATTGATGTTTTTGGGCTTCAAACTGGACTAAATGATCATAAAATTATGTTCTTCAAATGTGTTTGATATGGACCAATAATTAAGAAAGGTACACAAATAAAAAAGTTAGAAATTATCGATAACAATGGTAAAGAGCATTACGAAAAATATATTATTTATGTTTTGACTTTCTTGGCAGATTAAGTATGTCATATTCCAAATTCTCAGATAACTTAGCCGAAAAAGATCAATATCAGGAAGCAAAAATTATGATACAAATTAAAATAAAAAAATTAGTCAACCAAAATTCGGATTTCACTGGAATGCAACATGAATATGATGATTATATTGTTAAAGCTGTATAATTAAATATCAAGTAGAATATCTTGATGATTCAGGGAAAACAGAAATTGGATAAATCGCTGAAAATGTAAATTCTTATATAGATTGTGAAATCACTTTCCACATATCATATAAATGATAAAAAAATTATTGAGATACGAAAAACTACAACATTTAAACTTTCAAATAATAAAAAGCACCGCTATTTTGCTGGTAGTTTAATTCATATTGACAAAATTAATAACTAACAAATGACCAAAACAGTAGTAAAAAATTCTTTTTTTGTGTTTATTTCATAATCAAATAGCTAAAACTTTATGAATCATAATTTTAATATAAATAAATTGATAAAATATACTGTTGTTACAAAAAACAATAATGATTAATGAAAATGCGATTAACTGCCTATGCTTATTACTTTACATGAAACCTTAATCATAACACGATAGACAAAACTCATAGGAAACAAAATCCCAAAACAATCTTGTGTAACACCGACTATAACGGAGCAGCAATCTCTTGTGATATTTCTAAGCTTGAATTGTTTCACTGCATCTACACAATTAGGAATTGTCATTGTCGTTCTCACACAAGACATTGGATTTGGTAGAAGCCCTTTTTCGTTCATTGGAGCAAGCGCAAGATAAATATCACCTTTCACGTATTGAGAAATTGATAGGATCACTATTAGCACTACTAAGATGTACACACACAATCTTTGCTTCTGTCCACTCATTCTTTCTTGTTGATACAAATTGTATTTGAGTTTGAGATTACTATGATGACTTTCTTGAGAGTATTTATAATTCATATATGGTTATGACATTTTTAGTAGCTGATAAGTAATGTACTTAATTTTTGTTGATTTTGTGGATGCATGTATCAATATTGTTATAATTGTTTACCTTATTGGATAAAACATTTCATATATAACATCAGTTACATATAGTATGTATACGCATATCGCATATAAATCAATTTAGATTTTTGGTGATTATGTATTCACTTTTTTTTAGTTTTTCATAAAATCGCATTTATAAGTTATAAAACACTGTAAGGTCTAAAAGGTATATTCTTTATTTTGTAATAAATATATAGTTAGCGTCACTTTACTTTTATTAAATATTCTAAATTAAATATCAAACATAAGAAGAAGGTATATGAATTAAACAATATAGTAACATAAATATATATAAAAAAGTACCAAGGTATAAAGTTCAATTTTTTTTTTTAAAACAACATACAATAAAGAATATATGTGTATCTATAAGAACCAAGACGAGTTTAGATTCACAGGTTTTGATATTCTGTGTTTCGAACTTTAAAATTTAATCCTAAAGACCAACAAGTTCATGCACAATGTTCGATATAGTACAAGCTAAGCAAAATGAAATCTAAAAGGGTTGAAAGTGAAGATGTAATTGAAATAGTTAAATGAGTCGTTGTGTTCTTCGGGAAATCTTTGGGGGTTTAACTATATCGAACAAGAATTAAAAACAAAGCAAACATAACTACACTTACTTTTCATAAAGTTGAATCACAATTTTATTATTTACCTCATTTTGTAAACTAAAATGGCTATAGTTTACCTTTAAATCTTTATTATGAATGATTTGTTAACAATTAATTGCATTTATATATACTTTATACATGAAAATAACTCATATAAAAAAACAAAATTAATTATCACTTATAAAAGTATACCATCTTATGTTGTAGCCAAATAATCTGATTTATATGCACTATTGATTGATGTTTTTGAGCTTCAAACTGGACTAGTTGATCATAAAATTATGTTCTTCAAATGTGTTTGATATGAACCAATAATTAGGAAAGGTACACAAATAAAAAAGTTAGAAATTATCGATATCAATGGTAAAGAGCATTACGAAAAATATGTTCTTTTTCTTTTGGCTTTCTCAGCAGATTAAGTATGTCATATTCCAAATTCTCAGATAACTTAGCCGAAAAAGATCAATATCAGGAAGCAAAAATTATGATACAAATTAAAATAAAAGAATTAGTCAACCAAAATTTGGATTTAACTGGAATGCAACATGAATATGATGATTGTATTGTTAAAGCTGTATAATTAAATATCAAGTAGAATATCTTGATGATTCAGGGAAAACAGAAATTGGATAAATCGGTGAAGATGTAAATTCTTATATAGATTGTGAAATCATTTTCCACATATCATATAAATGGAAAAAAAATCAATAGAGATATCAAAGACTACATTTTTTAAACTTTCAAAAAATAATAAACACCATTATTTTGCTTGTAGTTTTATTCATATTGACAAAATTAATAAACAACAAATGACAAAAACAGTAGAAAAAAATTCCATTTTTGTGTTTATTTTATAATCAAATAGCTAAAACTCTATAAATCATAATTTTCTTATAAATAAATTGATAAAATATACTGTTGTTACAAAAAAAAGATAATGATTAATGAAAATGCGATTAACTGCTTATGCCTATTACTTTTCATGAAACCTTAATCATAACACGATAGACAAAACCCATAGGAAACAAAATCCCAAAACAATCTTGTGTAATACCGAGTAGAACGGAGCAGCAATCTCTTGTGATATTTCTAAGCTTGAATTGTTTCACTGCATCTACACAATTAGGAATTGTCATTGTCGTTCTAACACAAGACACTGGATTTGGTAGAAGCCCTTTCTCGATCATTGGAGCAAGGGCAAGATAATTATCACCTTTTGCGTATTGAGAAATTGATAGGATCACTATTAGCACTACCAAGATGTACACACACAATCTTTGCTTCTGTCAACTCATTCTTTGTTGTTGATACAAATTGTATTTGAGTTTATGATTACTATGATGACTTTCGTGAGAGTATTTATAATTCGTGTATGGTTATGACAATTTTAGTAGCTGATATGTGGTGTACTTAATTTTTGTTGATTTTGTAAATGCATGTATCAATATTGTTATGTATATGCATATCGCATATAAATCAATTCAGATTTTTCGTGATTATATATTCACTTTTTTATTTTTTCATCAAATTGCATTTATAATTTATAAAACACTGAAAGGTCTAAAAGGTATATTCTTTAATTTGTAATAAATATATGGTTAGCGTTACTTTTTTTAATTAAATATTATAAATTAAATATCAAACATATGAAGAAGGTATAAGAATTAAACAATATAGTAACATAAATGTATTTAAAAAAAATACCAAGGTATAAAGTTCAATTTTTTTGTTTAAAAAAGCAACATACAATACGGAATCTATGTGTATCTATAAGAACCAAGACGAGTTTAGATTCTTATGTTTTGATATTCTGTGTTTCAAACTTTTAAATTTAATCCTAAAGACCAACAAGTTCATGCACAATGTCTCGATATAGTACAAGCTAAGCAAAACGAAATCTAAAAGGGTTGAAAGTGAAGATGTAATTGAAATAGTTAAATGAGTCGTTGTGTTCTTCGGGAAATCTTTGGGGGTTTAACTATATCGAACAAGAATTAAAAACAAAGCAAATATGAATACACTTACTTTTCTTATACTTGAATCACAATTTTATTATTTACCTTATTTTGTAAACTAAAATGACTATAGTTTACCTTTAAATCTTTATTATGAATGATTTGTTAACAATTAATTGCATTTATATATACTTTATTCATGAAAAAACTCATATAAGAAAAACAAAATTAACTGTCAGTTATAAAAGTATACCATCTTATGTGGTAGCCAAATAATCTTATTTATATGCACTATTGATTGATGTTTTGGGGCTTCAAACTGGAGTAGTTGATTACAAAATTATGTTCTTAAAATGTGTTTGATATGAACCAATAATTAGGAAAGGTACACAAATAAAAAAGTTAGAAATTATCGATATCAATGGTAAAGAGCATTACGAAAACTATGTTCTTTTTGTTTTGGCTTTCTTAGCAGATTAAGTATGTCATATTCCAAATTCTCAGATAACTTAGCCGAAAAAGATCAATATCAGGAAGCAAAAATTATGATACAAATTAAAATAAAAAATTAGTCAACCAATTTGGATTTCACTGAAATGCAACATGAATATGATGATTGTATTGTTAAAGCTGTATAATTAAATATCAAGTAGAATATCTTGATGATTCAGGGAAAACAGAAATTGGATAAATCGCTGAAGATGTAAATTCTTACATAGATTGTGAAATCATTTTCCACATCTCTTATAACTGATAAAAAAAATCATAGAGATACAAAAAACTATATTTTTTAAACTTTCAAATAATAATAAGCACCGTTATGTTGCTTATAGTTTAGTCACATTGACAAAATTAATAAACAACAAATGACCAAAACAGTAGTAAAAAATTCTAGTTTTGTGTTTATTTCATAATCAAATTGCTAAAACTTTATGAATCATAATTTTATTATAAATAAATTGATAAAATATACTGTTGTTACAAAAAAAGATAATGATTAATGAAAATGCGATTAACTACCTATGCCTATTACTTTACATGAAACCTTAATCATAACACGATAGACAAAACCCATAGGAAACAAAATCCCAAAACAATCTTGTGTAACACCGAGTAGAACGGAGCAGCAATCTCTTGTGATATTTGTAAGCTTGAATTGTTTCACTGCATCTACACAATTAGGAATTGTCATTGTTGTTCTCACACAAGACACTGGATTTGATAGAAGCCCTTTCTCGTTCATTGATTCAAGCGCAAGATAATTATCACCTTTTGCGTATTGAGAAATTGATAGGATCACTATTAGCACTACCAAGATGTACACACACAATCTTTGCTTCTGTCCACTCATTCTTTGTTGTTGATACAAATTGTATTTGAGTTTATGATTACTATGATGACTTTCTTGATAGTATTTATAATTCGTGTATGGTTATGATATTTTTAGTAGCTGATATGTAGTGTACTTAATTTTTGTTGATTTGGTAGATGCATGTTTCAATATTAATATAATTTTTTACTTTATTGGATAAAACATTTCATATATAGCATCAGTTACATATAATATGTATACGCATATCGCATATAAATCAATTTAGATTTTTTGTGATTATATATTCACTTTTTTATTTTTTCATAAAATCGCATTTATAATTTATAAAACACTGAAAGGTCTAAAAGGTATATTCTTTATTTTGTAATAAATATATGGTTAGCGTTACTTTACTTTTATTAAATTTTCTAAATTAAATATCAAACATAAGAAGAAGGTATATGAATTAAAAAATATAGTAACATAAATATATATATAAAAAAATACCAAGGTATAAAGTTCATTTTTTTAAAAAAAAAGCAACATACAATAAGGAATTTATGTGTATCTATAAGAACCAAGACGAGTTTTAGATTCACAAGGTTTTATATTCTGTGTTCTGAACTTTAAATTTTTATCCTAAACACCAACAAGTTCATGCACAATGTTCAATATAGTACAAGTTAAGCAAAACGAAATCTAAAAAGGTTGAAAGTGAAGATGTAATTGAAATAGTTAAATAAGTCGTTGTGTTCTTTGGGAAATCTTTGGGGGTTTAACTATATCGAACAAGAATTAAAAACAAAGCAAACATGACTAGACCTACTTTTCTTAAACTTGAATGACAATTTTATTATTTACCTAATTTTGTAAACTAAAATGACTATAGTTTACCTTTAAATCTTTATTATGAATGATTTATTAACAATTGATTTCATTTATATATACTTTATACATGAAAATAACTCATATAAAAAAACAAAATTAATTATCACTTATAAAAGTATACCATCTTATGTTGTAGCCAAATAATCTGATTTATATGCACTATTGATTGATGTTTTTGGGCTTCAAACTGGACTAGTTGATCATAAAATTATGTTCTTCAAACGTGTTTGATATGAACCAATAATTAGGAAAAGTACACAAATAAAAAAGTTAGAAATTATCGATATTAATGGTAAAGAGCATTAGGAAAAATATGTTTTTTTTATAGCTTTCTTAGCAGATTAAGTATGTCATTTTCCAAATTCTCAGATAACTTAGCCGAAAAAGATCAATATCAGGAAGCAAAGATTATGATACAAATTAAAATAAAAGAATTATTCAACCAAAATTTGGATTTTACTGGAATGCAACATGAATATGATGATCATATTGTTAAAGCTGTATAATTAAATATCAAGTAGAATATCTTGATAATTCAGGGAAAACAGAAATTGGATAAATCGCTGAAGATGTAAATTCTTATATAGATTGTGAAATCATTTTCCACATTTAATACAAATGATAAAAAATCATAGAGATACGAAAAACTACATTTTTAAAACTTTCAAATAATAATAAGGACCATTATTTTGTTTATAGTTTTATTCATATTGAAAAAATTAGTAAACAACAAATGACCAAAAAATTAGTAAAAAATTCCATTTTTGTGTTTATTTCATAATCAAATAGCTAAAATTTTATGAATCATAATTTTAGTATAAATAAATTGATAGAAAATACTGTTGTTACAAAAAAAAGCTAATGATTAATGAAAATGCGATTAACTGCCTATGCATATTACTTTACTTGAAACCTTAATCATAACATGATAGACAAAACCCATAGAAAACAAAATCCCAAAACAATCTTGTGTAACACAGAGTAGAACGGAGCAGCAATCTCTTGTGATATTTCTAAGCTTAAATTGTTTCACTGCATCTACACAATTAGGAATTATCATTGTCGTTCTGATACAAGACACTGGATTTGGTAGAAGCCCTTTCTCGTTCATTGGAGCAAGCGCAAGATAATTATCACCTTTCGCGTATTGAGAAATTGATAGGATCACTATTAGCACTGCCAAGATGTACACACACAATCTTTGCTTCTGTCCACTCATTCTTTCTTGTTGATACAAATTGTATTTGAGTTTATGATTACTATGATGAATTTCTTGAGAGTATTTATAATTCGTGTATGGTTATGACATTTTTAGTAGCTGATATGTAGTGTACTTAATTTTTGTTAATTTGGTAGATGCATGTATCAATATTGTTATAATTTTTTTACCTTATTGGATAATACATTTCATATATAGCATCAGTTACATATAGTATGGATACGCATATCGCATATAAAACAATTTAGTTTTTTCGTGATTATATATTCACTTTTTATTTTTTTATAATCGCATTTATAATTTATAAAACACTGAAAGGTCTAAAAGGTATATTCTTTATTTTGTAATAAATATATGGTTAGCGTTACTTTACTTTTATTAAATATTCTAAATTAAATATCAAACATAAGAAGAAGGTATATGAATTAAAAAATATAGTAACATAAATATATATATAAAAAAATAACAATGTATAAAGTTCAATTTTTTTTTAAAAAAGCAACATACAATATGGAATCTATGTGTATCTATAAGAACCAAGACGAGTTTTAGATTCAATGGGTTTTATATTCAGTGTTCTGAACTTTAAATTTTTATCCTAAACACCAACAAGTTCATGCACAATGTTCGATATAGTACAAGCTAAGCAAAACGAAATATAAAAGGGTTGAAAGTGAAGATGTAATTGAAATAGTTAAATGAGTCGTTGTGTTCTTCGGGAAATCTTTGGGGGTTTAACTATATCAAACAAGAATTAAAAACAAAGAAAACATGACTAGGCCTACTTTTCTTAAACTTGAATCACAATTTTATTATTCACCTAATTTTGTAAAGTAAAATGACTATAGTTTACCTTTAAATCTTTATTATGAATGATTTGTTAACAATTGAGTGCATTTATATATACTTTATACATGAAAA